CACAAGGCTAGTGGTGGAGATGGGATACCAGCTATTGTCTTGAAGATATATACACCTGAACTGGCCCCAAATTATATAACTACTGCCTCAAGGAATCTTGTTTTCCAGAGTGCTGGAAGTCATCATCGATTGTTCCTGTCTTTAAAAACTCTGGTGACCCCTCTGACCCTTCTAATTACCGTCTTATCAGTCTCCCACCCATCTTCGGCGAAGTCTTCGAAGCTTTAATCAACGGGGGAGGTCCTCGACAAGCAATATGGTTTCCGCTTTGCCCGATCAACAGCTGATGTGTTTATGACCGTCTCTTAAATTGTGTACCAAGCTCTTCAAAATAACGGAGAAGCTTGTGCCGTGGCTCTAGACATCTCCAAAGCGTTTGATAGGGTTTGGCATGCCGGCGTTCGGCGCAAGCTCCAGGATTATGGAATTACAGGTCAATTGTTTGACTTAATCATTCCTGTCGAACCGTGAATTGAAGGTCGTTCTCAACGGATTCTCCCCCAGCTCTTATCCCACGAACGTAGGTGTTCCCAAAAGCTCTATCCTAGGCCCTACTCTGTTCCTTATTTTCATCAACGATCTTCCTGACGTCGTTGATTCTTAAGTAGGCATCTACGCGGACGACACTACAATTTACTCCTGCCTCAAAAACAAATCTAGTGTCGTTGACACAACTAACCTGGTCGATCGCTTCGAAAAGGGCCTCCAATCGGTTGTGAACTGGGACAGAAATTGGCTGTTTCACTTTAACGCTTCAAAAGCAAAACTGCTCTTACCACAGAGATCCTTCCCTGCCCCCCATTAGAATGTCCGACGCTCAACTTCTCGAGAGCACCTCTTTGTAGCTGCTCGGTCTCACAATGACTGCTGACCTGATATGGAACAAATACATTGAGTCAATTGCTTCGACCCTGCAAATGAAAGTTGACTCCCTGTGCCGCACCATGAAAATTTTTCTCCTTCAAATCTACAAATCAACCATTTGGCCTTGCATGGAGTATTGCTGTCATATATGGTCTGGAACCCCTTCTGTTTGTCTCGGGGTTCTTGATAAGATCCAGCGACGGATATACAATATAATTGGCCCTGATCTGGCATCTCGTCTGCATTAGCTCTCTCACAGACGTACCGTTACCTCTCTCTGCCTTTTTTACAAATAGTTTCATGGTAATTGCTCCGATGAGCTGCTTTTGCTGGTTCCCAGACTTCATGAATTCAAGCGCCCTACGAGGCTGGCATCCCGCTCTCACCCTTTCACTGTCGAAACTATTAAATGTAGCCGTCTCTTCTACTCCAATAATTTCATATCTCGCACCTCTCACCTGAGGAACTCCCTTCCATTTCCTGTTTCCCTGAGTTCTATAATCTCCAACTATTCAAATGTAATGTCAATAGATATCTCCAGATGCCTTGATCTATCCACTATCCTTCTCTTCATCCTTTCCTCTATCACTGCTATCTGCTCTCGCTCCAAATCCTCCGTAACCCCTTGCGAACCAGAACCAGTGGCTTCCAGCCTTGCTTGGGGTGAAATGCTGAGAGAGAGAGAGAGAGAGAGAGAGAGAGAGAGAGAGAGAGAGAGAGAGAGAGAGAATCTTATTAAAATATCAAAAAAATTCTATTAACAATATCTTAGCGAAAACAACACGTAAATTGGCGAAAAATGTTAAATAGTAGTCGGAAATGTAGAATTCATGACACATAGATAGCATGCCAAAGTAGGTTCATGACACATACATAACATGCCAAAGTAGTACCTAAAAAGTAATCTTATAAGTATAGAGACGTGTCCGTAGAACAGAATATTATTTTAAAAAATGCATGTTTTAACAGAGCAAATAACGTACAATGAAAGTTCATAAAAGTCTTTTCTAGCACAATGAAGATAAACAGTATACACAAACATTAGAGACTCTCCTTAAGAAAATTTGCATCCATGTAATTCAGAAACCGAGACGTCAAGATTCATTATATTGTTGCTGATAACTAGAGATGTCAAACAGCAACCTCTAGAGTATTCGTTACAGAAGACAACTAAGTCAGCCTGAAAGAACGTTGGAAAACAGACAAGTGTCAGTGTCATCAGAACTTGTAACATCTTGAGGTAAAATGTGTCCTACTTTGGTGGCAGCATCCAAAATCTTTTTTTAATGCCCTCACGAGGAATGTTTGAAGACAGCGTTTCAGAGGTCAAGTAAATTGGCAAAGAGTACAGCAGGATTATTTATTTCAAGACTATGGAGGGGATTTTAATGTTGTTTTCACTTATACTTTAATATCTTCTTCTTCATTAATTTTCATGAGTATTTACATATACTATTAATTACATTAGTAAGTGTCGGAGTCGAAATTATATTTTGACGATACTTTGCATACCAGACTAAAGACGACTTCTACTGCGCTGATGTCGCCTCTTTTCGATTCTGTTTGCGTTGAAAGCCAATTTGTATAAATAGTTGATCGACAACAGTATTGTTTGAGATAATGAGTCAGTTCGAGGGTGTTCTGAGCGTCACACAGAGTAAGACAAATGTTATTATTCTTCAAGTCACCACGGTACATCTGTGACATTATCCGTCGGATGCAAATGATTAACTGTGTAACAAATTCAAAAGGTTATTAACAAATACACACACACACACACACACACACACACACACACACACACACACACACACACACACACACAAATATATATATAAATCTATTTGTGTGTGCGTGCGTAAAACACAGAAAAAATGTTATATACAACAATTTATCAAATACATTACCTATATATAGTGATAACTTCAACCACAACCTCGATTTAAGTAACGCCACACTAATTAAAAGTTTAAATTCTACAGAATGTCGCTACTGAATCATAAATCTGCACTGCGGATTTTTTCAGCTATCTTTCTCTGAAAGCCAACGTATTTAACTATAATTTGCAAATTGAAAGGAGATGATTAAATTTAAAACTTTCCTCTATCTAAAATACATACAGAGTGCGATGGGTAAATTGTTGACATATATTTTTTTAAAATTTTGCGCATGCGCGTTGTTTGTATTTTGTCAACTACACAGTATAGTAGTGTCTGTTGGACACCGTCGGTGAAAAAAACAGAACTATGACGCAATTCACTCCAATTGAAATTTGGAACCGACATACTGAACTGCTTGGCATTCGCACCGGAATCTCTAATACGACCATTTCAGAGTGTTTGGGTGTAAATCTGAGGGGAGTGAAGATGATCCAGATTGTGTTGGATTAATCTAATAGTGATTACAACACGGAGACCTAGGTCAAGTGCCTTGAGGAGGTAGATCCGCCTTGGATCAAGAAGATGGCTGCTGAAAGACCCTATGCCTGGCAACATACCACACAAGCAGGAGAACACAATTTCTGGGACCATATCACGCCTTACATCTGACCACATATTTCTCCAGACTGCAACTCTCTTTATTGTTATGTATGGAATACAGTCAAGTGACAGACTAAAAAAAATCTCGTTGCAACACCAAAGATGAGTTGAAGACAAGAATTATGGCAGCATTCACAACTTAAATAAGGAGAAGGTCCAGAAGAGTTGCAGGAGATTCAGAAGTCGTCTGGAGGCCGTGGTTGAATCCAATGGCGATTTTATTGAATAAATTTTCTTTTTTGAAGATATTTTGATACAATTTTGGTAAACATATCTGTTAAAATGAGGTGTCAGTGTTATTTTCAGTTTGGGGTAATTTAGATAAAATTTATCCACTGCATCCTGTAGAAAAAAAAGAACTTAAATTGTAAAAACTAGCACGCTTATGGTGAAAATAGAGCATGTTGAGGGACAGAGGAGAACACCTACATAATCTAGTTAAATCTAAATGGTTCTCAGAACTGTGATTGTGATATACATGGTTTTATGTAATGAACAAAGTCCGACAATTATTTTAAGACATTTTTTTATGTTTATACGTTCTTTTTATAGATACAAATATTTAAGTAAATTCTCTGTTTATAATAAACAATATTAACGACATTTACCGGCCTGAGTGTTCGAGAAATTTTTATAGAAGATATGCGTCCACCGACAGGAATCAAACCTGTATCCTATACGGAACCGTCATATGGCCTGACGTGCTTTAACCGTTTCGGCCACAGAGGAGCGTTCGGTCGATTTTACTGTTTTTAAAATTTAATCTTCTATGAATTTCTCACGTACATTCATATCTGCTCATGGCGTATCAAATGTAAGCAAATGACGTCACACATTATGAAATGGACAATGTCCGACAATCATTTTAAGACATTTTTTTATGTTTATATGTTCTTTTTATAGATACAAATATTTAAGTAAATGCTCTGTTTATTAAAAAAAAAAAAAAAAACAGAGAAGCGTTTCATAATTTCATAATGTGACGTCATTTGTTTACATTTCGTTAAGCGTCAAGCAGATATGAATGTATGAGAGAAAATCATGGAGAATCGTATTTTAAAAACAGTAAAATCGACTTTGCTAACCGAATGGTCCTCTGTGCCCTAATCGGTAAAAGCACGTCAGACCATATGACGGTTCCGTATCGGATACTGGTTCAATTCCTGTCGGAGGACGCATATTTTCTATGAAAATTTCTAGAACATTTTGGCTGGTAATTTTTTTTAATACTGTCTATTATAAACAGTGCATTTACTTAAATATTTGTATCTATAAAAAGAACGTATTAACATAAAAAAAATTATCTTAAAATACATGTTTTCGTCTAGCGGCATATCATCAACTGTATGGGTTATTTAATACGGAAATCTATTTATGTTGTACATAATTTTATTTATTTATTTTTGGATGATAATAATGTTTCCACTGATGAAAGTATTACTAATTAACCCATAGTTGTAGGGAGATCAGGTGGATACATACCATTCCCATACGGCATGCACATCGGTGATCATAATAAACGCAAATGGAATTTGAAGTCATTTCTCGGGCTAACAACTCCGAGTCATTATCTATTACCCGACTTACATATTCAAGCTTACAACACCTGGTATTTCCAAGCGGTCACCCATATAGCTACAGACCAGGCTCTACGTTGCTTAAGTTCAGCGATCGGAGGAGAATCGGTGTTTCAACCTGATGTGACCATACGGTTAAACGGGAATGGGGGAGATAGCAAAAAAAGAAATAACTCTGCTAAGTGCTAGAAGGAATGAGAAGTGTCACAACACAGAGAAAAGGAAGAAAAACAAAAAGCTAATTTCTTCTGATCGCTAATGTATATATTTTCTAAATGTGGATTTCGAAATGTAACACTACTTATTTTTCTTTGTTTTTCTTTCTGTTTAGTTACTTTCGTGTGGACTTGCAGGTATAGCACTAGGGAAATTCGGAGATAATATAAAGAAAATACATCTTATTTACTTTTCTTACTGATCAAAAGACTAAAAAAAAAAAAAAAAATTCGGCTATTGCTTGGGAACATTCCAGTACTGAAACAACGTTTTCTCATATTTCTTGGCACTACACTCATTTGGCGAAACAGAAACTCCAGTTCCTTCCAGCAGTGTAAAACAACCTCAAAAGCTAAACATATTTTTACTGATATTGGAAGCACTTACCTTCTCTTCTTTTTACTTATTTTATTTGAACTTTCTTATTCTTCCCAATTTTTTCTCCGCAGAAGTAAATCTTGATATTCTTTCAGATCTTATACAGGATACAAATTTTCTACGGATGAAAAAAGATCATCAAAAAGCGGCACATCTTTATTTTGTCTTTAGATGAAATAATTTTCTTTGCTTTTTGTTTTAACCCTTAGGATCTATAGTTTATATTTACCATATATATATATATTTTTTTTTGTAATTTTATCTTCTATTTCTTTTCAGTATTTGATCTTCAAATAGCTATTTACTGAAGGTAAGCTCTAATGTTGGACCAGAGTTAAAAGACGTGCAGTGGTAATCACAAAAGAAAATCGCTGTTGTTATTTACAAATCTGTCGGAAGATTTTGAGATGAGAAATAACCTTTATTACATCATACTATATCAGTGTTATTATATTCGCTACCTTTCCGCCGCCTTAGCTTTCTTCATCTGTCTTATTCAGCATTTCTTCCTCAAGGGTAATTAACAAGCGTTTGCTGATATGTTGATGACTGCTTGCTGTCGGGAACATTGTCGTGTGTCTGATATTGCTTTTCCATCCCAAGGGAAATGTACTGATGATAACGGGGTAGGGATGTCTGCTGACGACATATGTATTCAGTTAAAAGTCGTTTTTGTGAATATACTCTAAAATGTATTGCACAATGCATTGATAAAAGAAAGCGAGTAGAAAGTAATGATCATCAATTATCAGAATCTCTCTCTCTCTCTCTCTCTCTCTCTCTCTATATATATATATATATATATATATATATATATATATATATATATATATTTATATATATATATATATATATATATATATATATTTTTTTTTTAAGCGTTTCACCCCAAGCAAGGCGGGAAGCCACTAGGACGCAAAAGGTTAAAGAAAATTTGGAGCAAGATCAGATAGGAGCGATAGAAGAAAGGATGAGGAGAAGGGTAGTGGATAGATCAATACAACTGGAGATATCGATTGACATTACATTTGATTAGTTGGAGATTATAGCTCTCAGGGAAACTGGAATGGGGAAGGGAGTACTACAAGCGAGAGGTGCGAGACGAAGCTATTGGAGTAGAAGAGACGGCTACATTTAGGAGTTTCGACAATGAAAGGGTAAGAGCGGGATGCCAGCCTCGTAGGGCGCTTGAATTCATGAAGTCTGGGAACCAGTGAATGCAGCTCTTCGGAGCAATTACCATGAGAGGTATTTGTAAAAAAGACAGAGAGTGGCGACGGCGCGTCTGTATATATATAATAATAATGGACTCTCCCGTAAGTTTCGACGTATGAGGATCTGCCAGCTTATTGCTTCAGTTATGAAAGTATATGCGCTAATCTTAAGTGGCATTTAAGACCCGCTAGTGATTTACAAAGGAGGCCACATTTGGAGCAAGTGTGAGGATTGTGAGAGGCGATCACTGCTAGATTGCTTGACCTTTTAGATCTTGATCTCGCTTCTTGAAGATGATTCAGCAAGCAGATTGAAAATTGCTGAGTCCACTAAAACACGTTGATCTCCATTCTACCCATTCCAAAGGTAAGTACTCAAGGGTGTTATGTGGTATATTAACTGCTGAAAAATTGCTCTTCATCTTGTCTTTGTATCTTAGCCATGGGCGTCCTACATTCCTGTAGGCCTGATCTAACTGACTGTACATTAGGATCTTGGGTATCCTGTCATCAGACATTCTCAAGATATGACCAGTCCACCGTAACTGAGACTGTATGATAAAAGTCTCGATTCCTCCAATATTACACCTATTAAACAGGTCTACGTTAGATGTCCTATCTTGAAGCTTAACTCCACAGATTGCACGCAGACAGCTTTTATGGAAAAAATCTAGCTGGCGTATATGGTACCTGTATGGAGTCCATGACTCTGAGCCATACAAAAGGATGGCAAGTACAACAGTTTTGTAAATCCGAATTTTCGTCTGCAGTCGAATACCCCGCTCATTCCACAAGCGATGGCGAAGTTTAGCAACGAGGAATCTTAAAGGAAAATATGAAGAAAATGAACACTTATATAACTGGCCACTCGTATTCAAGGATACCTGTCTACTAGGGCGGCTAGCCAATCCCTATTTCAGACGCTTGCTCAGGTGCATGTGTTTATTCAACACCCACAGAAACCAACTATGCTGAGTAGACCTTAGTTACAGTTTCTGGGAAAGAGCTTGTTATCTCGCGTGATCAACGATTTGAGCAAAGACAGCACGCTCAAGCCCAAGGGTTCTGTCGACCCAATTTCCCTCATAAGGCTTGGCTCAACCTGGTGTATGGTTTTCGGGCACTTTCCAAAGGTGCCGAATGCTGGGATCGACCCTTCCAGTCCGATAACATCAGGATGTCTCCTGACACTTCGATATTGGCGAGATTCGATCCCGGGTCTGGAAACGAAATAGGCCACCTAATTAAAGGGCTTTTTTGAAGGTTGGTTAGAACGAAAAACGGTAGTGTTTGTAAAAAGACTATTCTTTCCTAATAATTATAATCGATGGGAAGTTGTCATTGTTCACGTTCCGAATGAACATGATATACAAAAGAAGAAATCTAATTTGTAAAATATACAGTAAATAATGTGTACCTGACTATTACTTATAGACTACAATAAATAAAGGTATACACATTAAAATGATCCGTTAATTTAACAGCATATCGACACACTGAGTTACTTATTATTAAATAAGAATGGCATAAAAAAAAATGACAATAAATTAACATACAATAGAGTTGAAAAGTTTGGAACCACACCTGGTAATTTTTCAAATTGGCCCCGAAAGTAGTTGTATTATATTTTAAAGAAGAGAAAATTATTATACGTGATTAAAAGAGAGACATGTTTTTTTTATTTGAAATTTTATAATGACAAAAATTAAATTTTGCTCTCGCCAAAATGTAGTCCTTTAGTCCGGATTACTGCTCCATAAAGTTTTGGCGCTTGTTAAAAAGATTCTCAGAGTATAAGTTTGATAAATGATATTATTCTTTCAATGACTCTAAGAGCTTCTTTTCATGTTTGGGATATAAAGGTTTCACTCTTCTGTCAATTTAGTTCCATGCCAATTCTTGGGGTTGCTTCAAACTTTTGAACTGTAGCGTAGGTCAGATTTATTAGCTGACTCAAATGTAGGTCTAGAGTTCAGAGTTATATTCGAGTCAGAAGTCACTGAATTACGTCAACTATAGCTTTTATCCATTGGGCAAGTTTCCAGTGAGCATGTGGATAAAAGATTTAGTTAAAGTAATGCTGTGACATGACCCAAAGAATTTTGAGTTCAAGACATGGTCACAGCAGAGGTGAACAAAAACCTTGGAGAGCTGAGTTGCTGAAGGAAAATAAGTGTAACTGAGATATCCAGAAAAAGACTAGAACAACTTATCCCGGTTGATGAAATAAAGGATTCGATCCGAAAATCCAACGTAAATCACCTGAAGAAGGCCGGTATATACAATGGCCAAAACGCCGGGAATATGACAATTAGGAGGAGGACAATAGTCAGAACAATATAACTAGTGTAAATAGATATATGCTCATTTTATTCTTGAGTCATTACAAAGATATCAGTCCAGTTTTCCGTTGAATCGTGTGGCATATATAGTTCTGGTTTAAATTTTATTTATAAAGTTATTGCTTACACTTGAGTCGGTAATGTATATACATCTGTTTTATATTTTACTCAAACGGTAAACATTGTTCGAGTTTATAACCGATTCTGTAAGCATCCACGCGGAAAGTAGTTACTTTTGACGAGTATTCTCCTTGTTTTGGATGCGATCAGTGGCTTTAATTCTTGCGATCCATTCAGTGGCTGCAGATAGCATGTTCTACATATGGTTTTTGAATTCAGAACTCTTCTTCTCCAAGACTGGAAAGAGAAAGAAAGAAAGAAAAAAAGAAAGAGAGGAAGAAAGAAAGAAAGAGAGAGAGAGAAGAAGAAGAAGAAGAAGAAGAAAGAAAGAAAGAGAGAGAGAGAGAGAGAGAGAGAGAGAGAAAATAAAGAGAAAGAAAGAGACGAATTCATAATTTGCCCAAGACTATTTTCGCATGAATGAACTGGAACTAATCTCCCTAATTTCTCATTCTCAGCGGTTATTGAACTACCGACATAAGTTCCTTTTAATTTATATATATATATATATATATATATATATATATATATATATATATATATATATATATATATATAAATTAAAATTAAATTATATATATATATATTCCTTATTAATTTTATATATATGAAGAAATATAGCCTTATGGTGAGGTATATTTATAGGATAAAGTGCTCAATGTCAGAGATAGAGTGTGTGTAAATATATAGTGATAAAATTTTAGGCTACGCTTAGTCATTTTTTGTTTTGTACTTCAAATAAGACAACAATGGTATACATGGTGAACAAAAAGTCACACACGATTTTTTCTAATAAAATTTATTCGGACAAAAACAGCAAAATTTGATTAAATTTTGCTCGCGTCAAAATATCCTCCTTT